GTTTCTCAACCTTTTTTTTATATATATATATATATATAAAGTACCCCTTTAAAAAAATGTATAAGTACCCCCCTACCTACAGTTTTCGGACACACACATTTGTTTTCTACCGTTGCAACACCTTTATTTAAACAACTTCATTGTAGCTGGGCGGGTGGTGAAATGTGGGGGTGTAAAAAGTACCAAAATAACAAAACAGGAAAACTTAAAATAGAAATTCAGTGGTCTCCAAATTTCAGTTGTGTTGACGTAACCCTCCCCCAGACGTCTCTCAAATACCCTTAAGGGTACTCGTACCAGGGGCAGAAAGGGGATGAGCCTAATAGGCAGCATACCACCACCATCTGAGTCCCAGTCCCAGAGTGGCCGGGGAAGGGTCCTGTCCTAGAATCTTAGAATGCTAGAACTGGAAGGGACCCAGAGAGATGATCAAGGCTCATCCCCTCCCCTCCCCTCACAGCAGGGCCAAGCATCCTCTAGATCCAGGGCTGGGCAATAACTTTTTTGCCAGAGGCCACTTCACCCCAGACTGCTCCAGAAGGGGTGGGATCAGATAGTTCCCTGCTTCTCCACCCACTGACCATGATTGGTCAGGGGGTAGGGGAGTGCATTTCCTTCCTCCCCCCTGGTTCTCCCTAGGTGCCCATACCCCTGGCAGTGGGTGGGAGAAGACTTTGCACACTTCCCCTTCTGCCCCCAGGCCAATCAGGGCTTGGGGGTGGGGAAGTATGAAAAGTCTCCTCCTGCCCTTCCAGGAGTGTGGTGCTTGTAAGCGCTGCACACTCCTTGCAGGGTGGGGATAGGGTGGAGGAAACTTTCCGCATTCCCCACATCCCTAGGCCCTAATTGGCCTTGAGGCAGGGGAGCAGCAGGGCCGTTGCAGGCTGGATCAACCCTCTTGGTAGGCTGAATCCAGCCCACAGAGGCCCTTTTGCTCACCTCTGCTCTAGATCAGTGTTTCTCAACCAGTGGTACCTCAACAGCTTGATGTATAAAGCCAGCTGCTTCTCAGCTTAGGCTGTAGAGCAGTGTTTTTCAACCACTGGTACAAATACTCTCAGGAGTTCTCAAGAGAAGTCTGGGGAGTATGTCAACACAACTGAAATTTAGAGACAACTGAGTTTCTATTTTAAATTTTAGTGTTTTATTATTTTTGTACTTTTTATACCCCAAAATGTCACCACCTGCCCAGCTACAATTAAGTTGTTTAAATAAATGTGTTGCAACAGTAGAAAACAAATGTGTGTGTCTGAAAACTGTAGGTACTGGGGGTACTTATACTTTTTTTTAAAGGGGTACTTTATTTTAAAAAAAGGTTGAGAAATACTGGTCTATATCATCCCTGACAGGTGTCTGTCTAACCTGCTCTTAAATATCTCCAGTGTGGGAGATTCTATAACCTCCCTAGGCAATTCATTCCAGTATTTAGCAACCCTGAGAGGGAGTTTTTCCTAATGTCCAACTTAAGGGATGAAGGAGGGCCACTCATGTGGTTCATTCACTAGCCCAGGATCTTGACCCCTTGTTGATTGCAGCCTCAGTTGTAGGCCCAAAGTCAGGAGAATCAGGCCCATGCCACAGCACTGTAGGGCTAGAAGCATATTTATGGTCATTCCCCAGGCTGGCAGAGCATGCAGGTGTATCCCAGAGCAGGAGAAATACCTGGTAACACTCTCTAGCCATGTTTACTGGCCAGCAAAATGCACAACCAGTGACTCTGCTTATGGAGCTTCAGCAGAAACTATGCCTAGCTCCCCACAACTGGAGACAGGGGCTTCTATTCATGTCAAGCATGTCATGGGGGGAGGCATAAAATTGGGAGCAACCCACCACACTGAATATCTGCACATAGGGTATTTGGCCTTTTCCTCACACCAGCTGCCTGCCATTTAGCCAAACCAGTGCAGCTTCCTGCATGGCCCTCTCTATAGACCCATATAGACATGGTTGATGTCCATTAAGAAATTAACTTCAGCTCTTTCTAACCAGAGAGCCCCAGCAGAGTTTTGTATATGTGTAACTGAAGTGGTGCAAACAGGTTTAAAGGCACACTAATGAGCTTGACAAACATTACCATTTCCTGGTTTGTGCAGGTATTGGTATAGCTATCTTGCCCCAGGAGAGGCACCTCTCGCTATAGTCCCAGTCCAGCAAGACCCATAAACTAATCTGTGTTATTACATATGTTTATGTCTCAGAAAAGGGACAGCTTCCCCCTCCAGGCAGAAAGAGATAGCAGACACATTTGTCAGAAAAATAATTTAATTTCATAAACCAAAAAAAAAAAAAAATCACATCCACAAACCACTAGGAACATTCTCTGTTATCAAAATATAGAGAGAGCTGCTCTTTGCAGTTGTGGTGAGGGCAGCACACAACTGGCCATCAGATGAGGACTAAATACCAGCTGCATTATTGCATATGAAGGTTTAGCTGAGGTCATCTCCGGCCTCTGATGAGCAAGCTACCCACTCCCATTGTGCCCTCCCGGCTCACCCCACTCTTTAAGCATTTTTGAGGGTACATTCCTGTGTGATTTTTAGATGAGCATAGACCATTGCAAGCACACTGCTCCCCAGAGTAACAACAGTGCTGAAGTGGAAGGGGCCTGGCATATGGACAAGTTAGAGTTCTGCCGCTCCTGACGTTCATCTAAAGTTGGGGAGCCCAAAACTGAGGCATTAAAATTAGTGGCCATTTTTGAAAACTCAGACCTGTAAGACTTTCCTTGCAAGAAGTCCGAGGCAGGAGAAGGACCAGAACCCAGATCCTGTGTCAAACACAAGAACATTCTTCTTTGTCCCCACTCAGCAGAGCTTGCAGTAGGAGCCAAGATGATGCTTTTAAGCATGGAGTCAGGTCTCTGAATTAAAAATCACATGCAAAGTTTCAACGAGGGCTTCTCATGTCCTCAATGCAGAACCACATTGCCAGGTGGCCCTGGGAAAGCCACACAGCAGAGAACATTCTGACGTTCCCTGCCAGTGTCCAAACATTTATATAAAAAACGACCTCTGTACATTCTAGCAGTTAGGAAGCAAACTTCTGCAACCTACCCCACCCTCCTAGAATTTGCTGCATCTTGCACATACGAGAATATTGCTGGGTCTGCCTTTAAACTTTTTCACGATTCCAGGAGAACTGCCCTCCTGTTATTTCCATACATGTCTTGGAGCCAGTCGGCAGCAAGCTTAGAGAAGAAGAGGGTACTCACAGGACAAGACCTTTTGAAGCACAGACACATTCCTCCTGAACTCTGTCTGCCTCTGACCTTCCTCTTAATAACAAAAAAACCTGAGACAAAGGAAAACTTTCTGCACTTGGAAGAAGGGAAGAGAAGGGAAGAAAATAGCCAAAAATAAAGAGAAAAAGGAACCATGTGAGATGAAGGAATGAAAAACAGGGATGGAGCGAGGGAACAAAAACTAAAAACCAGATCAAGTGAATCCCACTGCAGGAATTTTTAACAGCCTAGATGCAGCCATGTATCAATGATGCGCTTGAAGTTTAACTTCCACCCACAGTTCCATCCAGTTCAGCAAGAAAAGGGAGATTTTGCTTCTGCATAGTTGGCCTCTCTTCTCTCTCCCCTTCCTCCAGAGAATGCAGCTCACTGCTGTCACCTAGAAGAAATGACAAGGCAGGAGACTATAGCACACTCCCAGAGTCTTGGCCCAGCCAAGTCAAGTACTCAGGGCTTTCCCTGCTAGGGCACTACACTGCAGCAGCATTCATCCAAGGGAGAGGAAAGAGCGAGCAAGCCCCGAGTGTGCAATAACCTCACTACGATCCTTTCCTCCTCTCCCTCCTCTGTCTGCCCATGCAGATGGTTAGCTCCTTTTCAGAGCTGGGGCGCTCTTTCACTAGGTGAAAGCTCTTCCTTCAGCAAGGGGGCCCTGATCCTGACCGAGGTCTCAAGACATTCACAATATAAATAATCCTCATCACTAAGGTTATGACCAAGTCACAGAAGTCATGACTTCCAGCCGTAACTTCAGCCTGCAGAGGTCAGGAGCTGCAGGCCGCCAACCTGTGCAGATCTAAGCTGCCAGGCACAGTGGGGTACTCTGCAGGGACCTCCAAGCTCACAGCTGCCATGGGGGACAGAGAACCCACGAGGTGGTGGAAGCTCCCAGATCTGCCAGTGGCAGGAACTCCGAGCTCCTAGTCACCACAGGTTCCCAGAGCTGTGGGCAGCTGGGGTATCTTACAGCTCCTGGCCCCCCCCCCCCCCCGGGGAATGGGGGGGGGGGCTGCAAAAGCTGCAGGGATACTTATAGTCCCTGGGCAGCTTCCCCGCTCCAGGCAGTGTGGAGATCTGCAGATCCCAGATATCTTTAGTAAGTCATGGACAGGTCACAGCTTCTGTAAAACTTTCTTTTTGCCTGTGACCTGTCCATGAGTTCGACTAACAATATCCATGACAAAATCTTACTCACCCTCTAACTTGAGCAGCCGAGTGAGTCTGGGCAGCACGTGCGGGTGGAGAGAAGAGGTGGAGCCCATCAGTTCTCCTCCTGCCCTTTGCCCCCTGTCCTCTATCCCCTGCTGTTGCTGCTGGCACACCACTCTCTGAGCTGGGACAGGGGGAAGTGGTGGCCTCTCCCACCCACAGAAATTTTACCAAGCAGCTTAATAGGGGCAGCAAGAGCCTTACTCTCAGTAATATGACCAGCCTGGATGTTGTTCCCATTCACCAGAGCCGTCACACGATGCACACTGGAGTTGTCAGGTGCCTCTTCCTCCTCCTCCTCCGCCTCCTCCTCCTCCTCCTCTTCTCCCTCTGAATCCACCAGCACAAAGATATCATCCGAGTCTTGAGTCCTGTGATCAGGAGGACAAAGGACTGAGAATGCTGCAGGGCTGCTCCTTCCTTCTTGCTTCCAGTCCTCAGCCAACCCCCATACCTCCTGGCGGCTACTATGTTGTCAGGTGCCTCTTCCTCCTCCTCCTCCGCCTCCTCCTCCTCCTCCTCTTCTCCCTCTGAATCCACCAGCACAAAGATATCATCCGAGTCTTGAGTCCTGTGATCAGGAGGACAAAGGACTGAGAATGCTGCAGGGCTGCTCCTTCCTTCTTGCTTCCAGTCCTCAGCCAACCCCCATACCTCCTGGCGGCTACTATCTTTGTCGCTATCAAGGCGCTGCTTGTTACGGCTACTCTGTCAAGTCCTGTACTCCGTCTACTGGCAGCCACGGTGCTGATAGGACTTTGCAGCAAGTTCCCTCCAATCTCCCCAAAGCACCTTCCAAACATTCATGGATAAATCCCCATACTGCCCCTGTGAGGAGAGTACTTTCCCCATCGTGCAGGTGGGGAAACTGAGGCACATAGGTGGGGAAGGAAGTCACCCAAAGCCACACAAGTGTGGAGCCAGGGACAGAACCCGGAAGGGGAGGGGAGGAATAATATGCACTAGGAAAGGGAGCTGGAGTGAAGAACATGACAACCCCAGGGAGACTCTTGTTTTGGGGGCTTGGAGAAGGCCATTTCTAAACCAGTGAGGCAGCTCGTTGCTGCTTTTATTTACTCCCTGAACTTTAAAGAGTCGAGGCAGAGGCAGCCTGTTTATAGGGAGCAGGTGAAGGGCCTTAAAACCCAGGCCTCCTCCAGCAGAGATGCTGCATAACAAGGACTGCCAAGGAGTCTCCATTAATTTATCAATCTCTCTTTCCCACAGCTTAGTTCGTTACATAGAAAGAGAGGCATTTGCACCAGGGGCATTAGCAGCTAGTTGGCAAATGGTTTAACCAATAACCCAGCCCGCTGGTCTGAGTTTCAAATGAAGAGCGTGCAGGGCAGCTGCCTGCTGCTTTGATACAGAGGCAGCTTCTGTACCAGAGACAGCGGTGTGAGCCGAGTGGCAGGAGGCTCCCCAGGAGTGGGTCCGGGGGGCGGGGTGCATTTTAGTAACCATGTAACCGCAAAGAATTGTTATGGGTACACGGTTACCAAAATAAACCATTTCGAACATCGCTAGTTTACATTGCTGTTTCCGGCAGCAGTGTCACTTGGGGTAGCATCATGCATGTGATCTCACCCCTGCTACCCGCTACGCCACAGATGACAAAGATCTCGCTATGAGCAACAGCTAACAAAGAATCCCCATTTGCTCAAGCATCTGGGGCCTGTGCCTTCGGCCCTTGGTTCTGTGGAGGGTGTGACATTGTTACAACTGCACTCACCATAGCATATGATTTCAATAAGTAACTCCTACCTTGGGTAGCGTACTTCCTAGGTACAACCACATCAAGTCTACTGGACTGCTGACATTACTAGGTCTGCACAGAGATCGGGGACTGGGCTGCAGATATAGCGAGGTTTGCACAGAGATTGGGGACCGAGCTGTCGATATAGCAAGGTCTGCACAGAGATCAGGGACTGGGCTGCGGATATAGCGAGGTCTGCACAGAGACAGGGGATCGGGCTGCAGATATAGCGAGGTCTGCACAGAGATAGGGGACCGGGCTGTGGATATAACAAGGTTTGCACAGAGATCAGGGACCGGGCTGCAGATATAGCAAGGTTTGCACAAAGATCAGGGACCAGGCTGCGGATATAGCGAGGTCTAACCAGAGATAGGGAACCGGGCTGCGGATATAGCGAGGTTTGCACAGAGATCGGGGACCAGTTCCAGATATAGCGAGGTCTGCACAGAGATCGGGGACCGGGCTGCGGATATAGCAAGGTCTGCACAGAGATCGGGGACCGGTTCCAGATAGAGCGAGGTTTGCACAGAGCTTGGGGGTAAGAAAACACTCACCTGAACATGCTGCCTGTGTGGGAGGAAAATAAGAAGGGGAAGGGGAAAAGAGATTTTAGAGACCTTCATAAACATGGTTCCCCAGTCAAAGCAAAGTCAGCTTCACGATAAGATCACTTGCTGGCTGCCTTGGGCAATTCTGTCTATTATACTGAACAGGGATTGTCCCAGGCAATTGCCACGCAGACATATGGCCAAGGAACATGCTGGAAGTGCTCAGGAAGGTGGCACTGTCACACTGGAGCAGGCAGAAGGCAGCTGTGCCTTGCTCAGGGACTGAGGAGACCACAGCATGAGAAGTAACTTTGCAGGAGAGGGGGAAGAGAATTTAGCACAGGATGCACCCTCGCTCCAGGACTGTGCAAGGTCCCCTGGAGAGTCATCCAATGCCATACACTATTGGTCAGCTGAGCAAGTCCCTCTGCCCCTGCTCCTAAAGCGGATGCAGGGGTAAGGTGTGCATATCTGCGGTGGACACAGGTAAACGGGATGGGGAGGGTGTGGTTCCAGGATTACAAGCTGCGCCCGGCGGGATCAGGAGAAGCAGAGCTCCCACCTGTGCACCTTGTGGCTGGGAAAAGTGGCAGAGGGAGCCATCTCCTCTTACCTTTCAGGCACAAGATGGGGTTGTAGTATAAAATGATTCCGGAGATGACCAGGATTCCCAGCAGCAGCAGAATGACGACTGCCCCCACCACCCCGACTATATTCACCGGTTCTGTGCAGAAGAGGAAAGAGATGCAGCAGCTCAGCCTATGGGATTGTCACTCCCGGGCGCCCGGTCACCATCGCGCACACGAAAACCACATCCATGTGCCATGGCTAGGCTCCCTCTGAGCAGATTTCAGTGGGGCTA